TCAATGAAACACAGATAGACATTCCTCTGGTATTCCCTGCTTTCAGCATAAGATACAAACCAGAAAACACTCCCCCCAAACTCACACTCATTACCATAAAATAGGAATTACCATGGAGTAGGAATTGACCCATCGCTGCCCCTCCAGCAGATTTCCAAAGATAGAAATAGCATGGGGTACTGCTTAGCTTTCTCCCATGGATCCATTGGTGGATTTGAACACCTTTGGGTTAGCTGTGCAACTCCCTGAGGACTGTGCTACCAGAACTTCACAGAAATAGGACCTCTCATGTTCCCTTGTGGATATTCCATATGCAGTTGAGAAAATATACAGAAAATCCACAAATATTTGGCAACTAAACAACACAATTCTAAACAACCAATGGGTAAAAGAAAAAATGAATATAGAAATAAGAAAATATTTTTAATTAAATGGCAATGAAAATATTCAAACTGAAAACTCTCTGCTGCCCAATCAGAACCAACTGACAACTTATCCTTGAGTGAGTTTTCATAGTGTATAAATCTTTCAGAGAGTATTCATCTTTCTCCTGTGGAATCACTGGTGAACATAAATTACCAGACAAGTATACTGCCTTGAGATTAGCCGTGCAATTCCCAACAGACTAGGACTGGGGCTTGCTAACAAAAATATATCTAAATTTGTGGAATGCAGCAAAAGCAATGCTTCTAGAAAGAGATTTAAATTTTTAATGCTTTTAAATGAGAGAAAATAAAGCAAGTTGGGTCAGATGTGAGCAATGGAAGGATATGGATAAAAGATATATGAAAGTTCTTTGTACTATTCTTACCATTTAAGAAAAAAAATACATTAAAGTTTTAACAAAATCAAAAGTTCCTCTAAAAATTCCTGAATTTAGTCATTGTTGCTTACATTAATAGGTAATATATTAATATATATCTGCAAGATAATGGATTACTTTCTATTCAAAATCTCTTGAAAAGACTCCCAAAATAATAAATATGCACAAACAAAAATACACACAACTACTAAAATCCAGAATAATAAATGGTTATATTTATGGGGATGATAGTGGAGGGGAAGCTAAGCTCAGAGATACTTTAAGTTGAAAGTGTATTCAGTAAGTGAACAGAAACTAACAATTTAATTAATTATAAACTAATATGGGTTAAAGAAGATATATTAGAAAAAATTCTGATTATCTGAGTCTTTCCTTTTCCTTATTCTTTATCAAGGAGCTGGTGGAGTTGCAAAGGTATTTCCCTTCACACATCTTGGTTTTGTTGTATACTATTGTGTTAGAATCAAACCATAGCTGGCCCTCCAGCAGGTTTTCAGAGACAGTTTTTCTCCCATGGAGCAGTTAGTGGATTTGAGCCACGTATCTTTGGCAGCACAATTCCTTACTACTAAGCTACCAGAGCTCAACTAGTGTTCTTGATTTTGCCTAAGCATTGAAATTTTCTAGGGATTGCTTTATAAAGCAAACCTGTGTCTCACTCATATGCAGAGATTTTTATCTAATAGATCAGAAATGTGGCCTAAAATATCACATCTATAATAGATACAGCACAGGAAACAGAATACAAAAGAGTAAGCTTGCTAAACAAAGCTAACTGACATACAGTAATTGATTAGTCTGGTCCTAGTGTAGGAAAATTTGGCACAAGAAAACAGAAAAGAACATAAAAATACATCCAAATTAAAGTGTTATTTCAAGTAACTTACTAATGGACTACTTATTAAGAAGTAATAAGTTGAAAAAAGAAAAATATAATACTGAAAATACAATTAATCTTTTGAAATGATGTAATTTCCAAATGTGTTAAAAAGTTAGATATGCAAATAAAAAAGGTACAGTAAAACAATAAAAGTGAAGCTTTTACAATCTTAATTAGGACAGACCTAACAAAAAGGTCAACTACTGATAGCCTAATGAAAGCATAAACTTACTAAACAAAATATTAAAGTGGTCATGATAAAACAAACAACTATCTAATTTTTAATATAGCTAAACAATAAATAAAATGTACATGAAGACAAAAAGGCTTCTGAAAACAAAATTTTTTAAATCTCATTACAGACAAAGGGGGAAAGACTGAGTATGTCACACATATAATAAATTATAAAATGGAAAGCAATATTGAAACTATTATAGCACCAACCTATGTACCAAATATCATCTATTCACTATAACAAGAATGAAGAAACAGCCCAAATGTCCATAGACAAATGGATGGATTGAGAAATTTTGGTATATTCACACAATAGAATACTATAAAGCCCTCTGGAGCAACAGTTTTGAAAAATACTGTATAACATGTGCAAGTCTAGAAAGTATTATACTGAGTGAATTAACTCTGAACTAACACAATACTGTATAAGATCATTGTTATAAGCACAGAAGGATAACTAGTAAGAAATGTGTACCTGTTCAAAGAGGAAAGAATGAGTGGTCAGCTGTAGGGGGGGGAGGAAACTATGGGGTCACAGAGTTTGGTGGGTGGAAATAGGGGATGAAGGAATTAGGAAGGATCCAGTAGGAATCTTATAAGATAGTGTAATAATGGGCATAGATCAATGGTAATTAATTTTATAAGGCACAATTCATGGGAATGATCAAATGAAACAAAGTGTCAATGAAAATAGAAATTAAAAAACAAAATTTAAAATTATTATCTTAAAATATTTTATCAAATAAACTTTGACTGCTAGGCATTTAATCGCATGAGAGGAGATTGCCCATCCTTCTCTCGCAGAGCATCTGGTAACCTCGAACTGCATGCCTTTGGGATTGCAGAACAGCTTCTTGCCACTCGGCCACCAGAGCTCAATAAATAATTAAACGTACTTGATTCCAGCTGTTTATTCCATTCTGTAACTTAAAATAATTTTGCTTACTCGCTAATATGCGCTCTCGATTTTTGGCAATTATTTCTTTTAGAGATCTTTGAGGTATTTTCTTGCTGCCATGTATGGTTGTTGTGGCAAGTCTTTTCAGTTTCCAGTGGGTCCAAAAGCCCTTTGGAGGTTTTAGGCCTGTTAATAGAAAACATGCATGTAGAAAAATTAAGAATCGGAAAAATTACTTTTGTCTAAGCACATTTATTACTATTCTGTTTCAATTTCCAAAGGCTGGAGCATTGTCAGCCTCGTCAGAGAAAGCAGACGACGCTCAACAAGATGAACTGACACAATGACTATAACAACAGATCTGTTGTACCTTGATAGGGTGACTATGAGTTTGAGTCAACTTGACGGCATCTAAACAACTGTAACAGAAATTACTAAAGGGAATTATAAAAGAGTGGAAACTCAATAGCATCTTCTGACTAGGTACATCTGTAATTGTTGTTGTTGTTGTTGTTATGTGCTGTCGAGTCGTTTGTGACTCATAGCGACCCTATGTACAACAGCCCTAAACCCTGCTCTATCCTGTGCCAATTGCACTGCCTCGGACACACCCATCCCTATTACCCCAGTCACTGAATCAATCCACCTCATAGAGGATCTTCCCCTCCTGCGCGGTCCCTCCACCCTCCCAAGCATGATGTCCCTCTCCAAGGACCTGTATCTCTTTACAACATGTCCAAAGTATGTCAGATGAAGCCGCTGAATCCTTGCCTCCAAGGAGTAGCCTGGTTTAACCCTCTCCAGAATAAATCTGTTTGTTTTCTTGGCAGTCCAGGGTACATTCAATAGTCCTCTCCAGCACCACAGCTCAAAGGCATCAATTCTCCTTCTATGCTCCCTAGTCATTGTCCA